GCCAACCAACGTACGGCATCAATAAAATTTTTTAACTTGGTTGTTTCTTCGGAATCATGACGAGCATACGAGAAATTCGATATTTTTGGTTCGAGTCTCGCTGTCATCTATTTTAATTATCGTGGCATGGTCAATTTACTATACCATATGTCATAACATTTATCCATGTCACGTGACTCACCAGGATATTCGCACATCGAATGTCGTGGTGAAGAATTTCGCATGTATGCAAAAATACAAGGCCACGACAAATATCGAGAGCTACTTGAACTTTTGAACGCCACGAAATATCATGACGCTCGTACACTTCTTTAAGCGAACCATGTTCTGCCCATTCGAAAACCATGACTTCGCGGCCGGAAACTTCCGAAAGACCATAGAATTTGAGGATATTGGGTGAATCCTTTAATTTTCCTAATATAAGAAGTTGGGTTTTGATCTTTTGACTTTCGACCGAGCCATCGTCTTTCAATTTTTTGGGCTTAGGATTACAGGCGACTTCGGTGGATCGATTTAACAATTTCTTGACGATCGGCGATTTTTCGTCACCCCGTGTATCAGTCTCTCTTCCAACTTGAGGGTCGGTTAAATCCTTTGGGTCTATATAAGTCGTCTTTACTTCACCGACGCTGGAGTTTCGTTCCAGTTGGCTTTTGATAATTTGCACCTCTTTGAGAACTGTGTTAATGTTATTATTGGAATCAATAATACCACCTTCAATTTTTTCTAAAAACTAAGAGGAATCCGTGATTGCAGATTAATTTATGAAACTGATCATTTGATGCACTATTTTTACTAATAATGGACAGTGGATTTACCGTTGTCATTTCTTTGAGGTCTGACTTCAATGCTTCTGCGTCAATTTCTCGCTGTTCTTCATTAAAGAGGGTTGTGGCGAAATGTAATTCTTTCATGATAGTCTCGAATTCATCGGTAAGTGATGTGAATTTATCTTTAATGGAACTAGCATTCGCATACTTTTTAAACCCGGAGATAGTAGACACATCGCCAATGAATTGTTTCATCTTCTTCATTATTTCAACAAAACGTAAGAACGATAAGTAGTAACCTTGATCACGAAAATATTTTTCATTATTTCTTTTCCTTCTCTCCAAAGTTTTAATGGCTGCCTCTGCAGCTGTAATACGATCCATTAGAGAGGAACATATATTTTTGTTGTGTTTTGCATTCTCATAAATCCGAATGGTTTCAGAAATTACAACGGTTACGGTCGAGATCAAAGGTAAGAAAGGTTGAACTGCGTCTCCGATGGCTCCTATTACACCTAAAGCATTCTTGGCCATTTCTAAGTTGCTACTCGCACCAATTTCACCCAACGCATGCATGCTGGACGATGCACCGGCCAACACTGTTGGCGTTTCCTCAATAAGCGAACTGACCGAAGACATTGTTAAAAAATTGAATTTTAATTTTTTTGTTGGAAAATTTGTTCAAAAAATGTCTCAAATATAAAGCTGGGCACGTGTTACGTTATACAAAGAATAGAAGGACACGATTGTGATTAGAAAAGCTCGATGGACAATAGATATAGTATTCACTTAACACAATAGTAATAGTTTGACTTCGCCATCGTCAGGTGATTTGATTGGCGCAGATTTGTATTTTATAACACTTTGTGTTGTGCTTAGTGTAAGGATTGCGCCATGATCCAAACATGGTATGGATGGGATTGGAGCTCTTTCTTGGCGCATGTAGACGGAAGTGAGATCATATTCTTAATAAAAGCATACTACCCTTACCTATATTTATATCCTATCAGGTAAACGACCACTTTATTATTGAAAGCTCATTTTTTATTTTCAATACACGCTTTTACGAGTCAAAATCAAATACGTTAATTGCATACGATATTTCCATTTTTTGCTAATCACAATAAAAACCCGGATTTTTTACACATTTACTGTATATTATATTTTAAAAAATATATTTTTTTTAATAAAATATTATGATTTAAGATTATATTATATGCAATAACAAAATTAAATATTGTGAATACCTATACGTTATATCGTAATTTATTTATCTATTTGTTTATTTTTAATTTTCTGTTTATATAGTATAGCATATATACAGTATAAAAAATCAATAGTTTAATTAAAAATATAATTTTTAATCAAAACTTATCTATTATCTTATACTATAATCAATGATCTTTTTTATATATTATACGATACAATATTTTGAATATATTTTATTAAAAATGAGTTTAAGAAATATTTTAATAATTTTTTTTTAACTTGTTATCTGAAATTTTTTTTAAAAAAAAAATTGAAAAGCAATTAAATTTCAATATTATTATAATAGAAAAAAATTAAATTATTATAAATTATTATTTCTATCTATTGTCAATTATTTAAATAGACTTAAATTCTAACAAAATATATGAAATATAAATATGATTCTTAAATTAAAACTAAAAACATAATTTGAATGTTTTTTATTATTAAAAAATTTTTTTAAATATAAAATTAAAAAAACCATCTATAATGATTTTTTTACAATTTAAATTAATTAATCCAAGTATCTTTAAAATCAAGTTTCTATTAAAGTAATAAGTAAATAAATATATTTTTTTAAGAAAAACATAATTAATCTTTAAAATTTATTTTATTAAATAATTTTAAAACCTATTTTAACTAGAAATTTTTTTAATTAAATTATAATTTTTATTTTTATTTATTAAAAATAAAAAATTTAATTTTATCTTACTTTATATTTTTTTTATTTATAAATTATATAAAATATAATCTATTCTAAGAAATTTAATTAATTTAACTAAATATAATATTTATTATTATTATTTATTATTATTATTATTATTTATTATTATTATTATTATTATTATTTTAATAATTTCTAATTAATAAACTTTTTAAATTACAATTATATAAAAAAATAATTTTTATTTACTTTATAAATTGAAAATCATTTTGTTTATTTATTAAATCAAATTAAATAAAACTAAAATCATTGAATTAATTTTTTTAAATTATTATCTTAAATATAAAAATTATTATTTAATTTAATCTTATTCTTTCTTCTAATAATTTAATAATTCTTATTATTAATCTATTATTTAACTTTATATGTTTTTAAATATATAAAATAAATAAACCAATATTCTTATCTAACTTTAAAAACTATAAATATATCAGTATATAGTTTAATTAAATGTAAATATATATATTTATATATTTAAAAAACCTCCAAAAATGAAAAACTATTAAATTTTTTAAATAAAAATATACAATATATTATTTATTTATTTATTCTTTTTATATATAATTATTAATTAATTGATTTTTAATAAAGTAGAACTATCGTGCAGCCATTATATATTATTTTTTAAGTTATGCTAAAAAAATTCTAAACAAATGATTTTTTTATTACAAATAAATAAATTATTTAACTAATATAACACTTTTTTAAAAATATAAAAAAATATAAAATTTATGATTAAGAAATATATTTTTTATATAAATATTTTTCAAATTATCAATTTTTTAATCAATTTATTGACATTGACGATGTACAAAGTATGAAAGTTTTTTTATTTTGGATAGTGTAACAATATAATTAAAATTCTTACGAACTTAAATACGTTTGTTTAAATTACTGTATCGACATTAAATCGAAGAGTTGGTCATGGGTTGCGATATTTGGATTTTCGCTCATTTTTTGGCTTTGGTTTCGAAATTAGTAAAATCGATGTTGGAAACACCATAACCAATAGTAGAGTGCCAACCTCTGGCCTTTTCAAACCCGTTCGTATAATTCATGAAATCGAACCTCGTCTGGGCTATTTCTTCCTTGGTATTCATCACGAATGGCCCGTAACTCTCAATGGGTTCCTAAATAATCGATTGAGGCGTTTTTCAGCAACATAGATCCTTGAAGAAAAATACGTAATATAAAAAAAAAAAAAACGAAAAAATCATTACCCCCAAAGGTTTTCCTGCAATTAGCATGAATCTAACGTCCTCGTCCTTGGCTTCGACGTTGATGTGATCTCCACCGTTATTTTCAAAATACAAAGCATGATTTTCGTTTCCTTTAAACGAATTTCCGCCAAAATAACCAGATCCTTCCAAAACAAAAATGAAACCTTGAAAATCTGTGGGAATGTCTTGAACAACACTCTTTCCTTTCGACAACTTGAAATCCATCAGCATCGTAGGAGTTCGAGTAAATATTTTACTGGTGACACCGTGACTTGTCCCTGCAATTACCTTTACTTCAACTCCGGAATCAGGAGTTGCTATAGGTATCTGAGAAGATTTTAAATCCTGATATGAAGGTGCAATTTTTTTATCCTTTGAGGAGAGATTAACCCAAAGTTGAATTCCTTTAGTCGTGGTGACCGGCATTTCTGAGTGAATTATACCGCGACCCGCTGTCATCCATTGCACATCACTATTACATTTTTTTTTAGAAAATGAATACAGAAGTGAAACTAATATCTCAACATGAAACTCGTTACACACCCGGGGCCTATCAAGCCTTTGTTTCCTTCAAAATCTTCATGCGCAGTTGTACCTAAGTAATCGGACAGGTTTAGCTATTGATTCTTATGCGAATGAAAATCGTTAATAAATGAACGGATTATAAATTGATACTGTAAAATACCTTCTAACATATAGGTAACTGTCTCGAAGCCTCGATGAGGATGATCAGGGAAACCGGCGGGAGGAGAAACTTCAAATAAATCGCACATTAAAAATGGGTCGATGGCATTTCTTGCGCTTATGCATCTTCTCACTGTTGCGCCCACACCTTCGGGCTGCGACTGGAATTAATTCAGGAAATGTTAGAAGTGCATGTCATCATTATCCAAACTCTGAACATATTAATCAAATACTTAATTACTTTTGCGAGGAAAGATTTTAGAATATTTCTTGCCAAAGACATGTCTTTTACGAAATTATTTTTTTTTCCTATTATTGAGTTTTAATTGATTTTTTTTTTTGAGTTGACCATGGTTTGCATTTGCTTTTTATAGGACCGAGTTCTTGCTTCGCTTTATTAACACACGCACATCTTTGTAATCAGTCATTACAAATACCCAAATAAATCATGTGATAATTACTAAGATACACGTCATTGTAAACAAAATGCATTTCAAACTTTCTGACAAATACAGGTAATTCTAGCATTTACCATGACTGGATAATCTAATTGTTATAATGACCATTAAAAAAAACTAATAATCTATTACCAGAATTGGTTTTTACTTGTCCTTGTTGATAAATGCAAAGTATGTGGATATTAGTTAAGATTACATACGTACTGTGTATCAAAAGTCAACTCTATTTATAAATGTTTTTTTACGGCAATCTTTCTCGAGAAAATAAAATACGTGCGTCATTCGGGTTTATAATATAACAATTAGTCAAATCATACCCGTTACTTATCGAATAGAATTTCAAGAACTTTGTGTAAATAAATAAAAAATTTGTATAACTTGATAGGAAGCAGAGTTTTTTTCCTATTTTCGGTCGCATGAAATGCATTCCCTTGCGTCACCCTTGCGCCACTCGTACAGTGTCCCTGCCGCATTTTGGTACGTGATGGGAATCGTAGTAAATTTACGAATTTGCGCGAAATTTTCAATCTTTATAAATACATCTAGTAACCTATATTATTTTAATAAAATAGAGAGTAAAATTACATGTATATAATTAATTAATATTTATTAATAAATTATTTGATAAAATATTAAAGTTTAAGTTTTTAAATTTTTTTAAAATAATTTTTTATAATAATTTTTTTATTAAATTTGATTAATATACAGTAATTCAATAATTTAAATTAAAATTATTATTTATTATTTGAATTACAGTATTAATTTTTTGTAACTTGTTTTGTTTTATTTAAAATATAATATTGATTAATAATATTAATAAAAATATAAAAGCTAGTTTAATTAATAAAATAAAATAAAAGTTTTAACATGTAATAACTATTTTCAATTAATTATAATAATTTTTGAATGGTCACTCATTTATTGGGATGCACAGTATATGTATATTGAATTGTTTTATATATGAGTTGTTCGGTGTGCTCTACAGGATAGATCATCCTGCGAGCAAAGCGCGGCCAATCAGCAGGGAACCAGTTAATTACCCAAGGAACCTCAGAGACTATACGCACCGAGGCTTTCGACTTATTAGCCTTCTTCAAGCATTATAATGATTAATTGTTTTAACATATTATAATAATTGCTATAATTTTTTGTTTTTTAAAGAATTTATTAAAGAATTTGTTAAAATGTATTGGAAAGTATTTCAAACTACAGATTTTAAATTATATTGTATTATATAAGTAAAGATTAGAAAACCAGCTTTAAGAAAAATTTTAATATTAAATTGCATTTAATTGTTAGGTTATATTTTTTCAGAAAAAAAAATTAATTTGAGTATATTTTTAATAAAGAAAGTAAACTTGTAATTTAGAATCTATTTGTGAAATAAAAACATTATTATAGATATAGAAAGTTATTGGTGAGGTAATATACTGTATATATATTAGAAGGTATTAATAAAGTAATTATATTGTTTAATATTGTTTTGATTAGGTACTAGTAAAGACTTTAAGATTCAAATTTCTAATATGTAAATTGGAATTTTTTTTTAAAAAAATAATATTTAAATAATTGTGCTGTTTTGTTAATTGATATTTTATTGTTAACTTTCCTTCGACAATTTAAAATCCATCAGCATCGTTGGAGTTCGAGTAAATATTTTACTGGTGACACCGTGACTCGTCCCTTCCATTACCTTTACTTCGACTCCGGAATCAGGTGTTGCAATAGGTATCCGAGAGAATTTCAGATCCTGATATGAAGGCGCAATTTTTTTATCCTTTGAGGAGAGATTAACCCAAAGTTGAATTCCTTTAGTCTTGGTGACTGGTATTTCTGATTGAACTATATCACGACCTGCTGCCATACATTAAACATTTCTATTGAAATTATTTTTAGAAAATGAATACAGTAAGTGAAACTAATGTCACAATCACCTCAAGACGAAAATCATCACATACACGGGATCAAATCTTCATGCGTAATTGTCTTAGGTACTCAGACAGGTCCAACAGCCTATTCCTTTGCGAATGGAAATTGTTGATGAAATGAACGAATAATAGATTGATACTGTAAGATACCTTCTAACATATAGGTAATAGTTTCGAAGCCTCGACGAGGATGATCAGGGAGGAGAAACTTCAAATAAATCGCACATTATAAATGGTTCGATGACATCTCTTGCGCATATGCATCTTCTCACTGTTGTGCCCACATGTCACCATTATCCAAATTCTGAACATTCATAATAATCATTCTTAACAATTACTTCTGCGAGGAAGGATTTTATAATATTCCTTGCCAAAGACATATCTTTTGAGACATTCTTTTTTCTTATTAATTGAGTTTCAATTATGATTATTATTATATTTTTATTTTTAGTAGGTTGAACCGCGGTTTACGTTCACTTTATATACACCGGATTCTTTGCCTCGTTTGGCCGGCATTCATTCATGTGTTATTGTAATACAAATGTATGTCTAACCAATGAACTTTCTGACAGATAGGATTTAAAGTTTTCATTAAAACCGTAACCCGTAATTCTAGAATTAGACTGACTGATGTACTGCATTGTTGTTATAATGACCATAAAAAAACTTACCAGAATTGGGTTCTCATTATCGGACATAGGATTTGTAATTAAATCCTGTAATGATTAATATTTTTCGTTCTCCTTGTTGATAAATTCAAAATACGTCGCAATGCGTTAATACCAGTCAAAGATTACGTACGTGCTTTGTACTAAATGATTTTTCGTTGCGGCAATCTTTCTTGAAGAAATACTAGGCCAGAGATTGCGATGCGATTGAACTACGTGTGTGCGTCGTACGTATGCATACACTTAACCCCCTTGAAATTGAATCCAATATGAATAAATAAATAGTTGGCCTTTACTATGTATATCGTATCCTATGTAGGTTCAAGTTCCAAAGTCAGGTCAAAACCTGACCCTCCGTTAAATATTTGAGCAAGATATTTCTGACAGCATTTGTATTTCCACTTTGCGCAATCACATTTGAACGTTTATGATCCACTGAGATCATTTTTTACGAATCCACAATTCCCACACGTCTTTGAAGTATACTCTTCGGTGCATTCAATGACCTTGCAACCTCTGAACTCCCTCAATTTATTATGCAAGAATATTCGAAACCTGAAATGCGACCAAGTTAGCATTGCACGAGCGATCTTTGACCAAATCTTTCGCTTGTTCTTCAAAACCATCCTCGAAGACACGAACTTGAGTAAAAGAATGATATCTCGTAATTTTGACCTAACAAACGGGCCAGCTGATGATGGATTCGTTGTATGATTAGTAACATCTTTTTTTCTCAATCAGAATCTCTCTTGTTTGTTCTTCCCAAAGCAAGATCTTTGTCGCTCTGTAATTTGTCATATTTCTTAGATAATTTAAATATTAATATTAAAATCACCGTAACCCAACTATAACCGGTCATAAACTGGATCGAGTGAGATTACCTTTCTCCGAATATCAAAAAAAAACGGAAGCACGCAAGTAAAGATGTCAGATTATTCATAGTTATGTTATCCGTATTATGAGGTGAAATATTTTTTTAGGAACGCGTATTTCCTCTGTTCCTATTAGCGATCCTTTTTCGCAACTTCTTGTTTATTTTCTATGTTGCCATCAATTGTCGAATCGCGTACGAACGTACTTCCCAGGTGTCCCTTTTACACAGAGGAGTTCTTCAGTTGTGAAGCACTCATTGTTCAGGTAACTCATTGTTCAGGTAATACTTTCGTATAACGGTGATTTCATCGTCCTGCACCATCTTAAGAACCTTGTACGTCCATAAGCTTATCTGAGCTCATTGTGTCTTGCCGTGAAGACCTTCGAACCGAGTACCATGATGTTTGTACTGTTCTTGCCAAGAATCTATTCGATAAGCTCGTACGCAAATCTGCAGAGCCGATCCTTCCTGGTAACCACAACCTTCTCGCTCACATTGCCCGTCAAGACCCTCTTTTTGTTTCTCTGAGCTGACCCTTGCGTGCTTCACGATACTTTGTTGTTGGCATTATCTTGCTCAAACATACGAATAAACAGGACTTATTTATACTCTAAAGAATGTTGAGTCATCGACTATATTGTAATAATGATAATTCCAAATTCTTTGACATCGATAATCGGGTAAATATAAAAATAATTATCATTATTAAAAGTAGCAAATAATAGATTTAATTATAATATTGTATTGTTTACATACCGTGCTAATCAAATACGTGTTTCTAGAATTCTAAGAATGAAAATTACCATAATTTGCTTTACACGAAGATGACACTAGGATGTACTGTATACATTTGTCCTATGTTAAATTGAACATACTTTCGGTCAGTCGGAGCGGATAGTACACGTTTGGCAAATACGCTTTGTGCGTTCACAATGAGCATACCAGCATATGTAAAATAATGTAGGTTGTCATCCCTGAGTACATTAATAAATTTTCATTAGCGTACTGTACACATCATGCATACTGTATACTTTATCGCTTTCTCTGTCATTTTACTTGTCACATCGACTTACAGTGTTATAGTCCCTCCATTATCATATCATCATGGTTATTTATGACTAGCTTCTTCGTTTTCAAACATTCTTTCCTTTAAACCTTTCCTGGCAGAAATGTATTATTCTCCAAAAAAAGCATCCCATTGCCATTGTCGTTGTTGCAATGTGCGCGCACGTATGTATGTACTGTACGTACAAACTAAATTTTTTTGTTTTCACAAATTAGCATCCGACCATTTCCATTTTTCTCTTCTTTCTTATCCATCTCATTATCGTCTCACACTTGTTTGCTCCTTTTCCTTTACATTGATCCTTAAATTTTTACCCTTTACATACACGTAACTCCTCATTACCATTCTTCTTAAACCTTGTCATTTGACTGACTTGTCGTCAAATATATACCATACACCTAAAATGTCATTTATTTATATATTGTACATTCTAGAGATAAAAAATACGCATTTTATTAATATGTATATACATAACGAGGTTCTTAATAAAGTATTGTTATTTAAATTGGTGTACATGTGCAATCGATATACTGCACAAATAAAATAGGTTTCGTTTTTTTAAAAATATATATATATATACATATAATCTAGTCTAGTTCATGCGATCGTGATACCAGGCACTTTATAATAAGTCTTTTGTGTCATTACTTTTTACTCCTAACCTTTATTGCTTTTGCATAGGTTAAAATATCCATTTTTTCCTTTTCGCTTATTCATTCGTTAATTCTTCTTAAAATATAGGATTGGCTTTAGAATCCGAAGAAAATTACGTTTCCTTTCTAGTGGTCTAACGAACAAACCACTCAATATATATGAAACTCACAAGTAGTTAGTGGCGAATTTAAAGTACTTCGGGATTGAAGAAACGAAACTAAGCATAGATTCTTTATAGACATAGAACGCTCACAAATTTTTCTTCGAGGAATTTGGTTATTTTAAATAAAGTGTTCACTTGGAGTTCGCGGATCTCTAACAACATCTCTCTCACTCGAAGAGAGTCGGAATGGTTCAAACGAAATCTGGTTGGATATGGATATATGGCTATTTCTTCGTGGTGACGATCTTGCTTATTTGTATTAATGGAGATTCGAGTGTTCCGAGATAGTTTGTATTCAAGTTTCCTTGTAATTTTATCTTTGCTATCTCGGTTTTGCCATTTATTTTATAAATAAACAAAAAAAATTTAATTGCGAAAAAATTTTCCAATTTATTCAATTTTCCTTGACGAATAGTGATCACGGGGCCGTGCTGATAGGAAACAAGTATGTTGTTCAATTCTCAACTATCATTCTTACAATTTCTAACAATGCCATATCCTTATCCACACAATCAGATTATACGTGTACGGCGGAAGAAACCTAAATAACGTTTCTTTAAACGAACTCCTTATACTTGACGTAACCCAATCATTTAACCTCTCAATTCCTCCGTGGTCTCTCGGTCCCCAGACAGGTCCCCACATCTATAAACACGGTGTTTCCGTAGGTGGTCCAAAAAATGACCGCATGATGCTCTTGGGTGGTATTACCATTGATCCTTTCGGTTCCTTATTATATTATGACACTGTCAACAGTCTATTCGTAAAATCAAACTCAACACAACCGGCACGTAATTTTGAGATAGCCGTCACGCAAGAAAATTCGAATGGTCTTGTGTTCGCATATGGTGGAACTGACTCAACGGGTGCCACATCAACAGGGTTGACGATAGTGAATTCATCGCAGGATACTGTTACAACGCTTCAGTTATCGAACCAGCCTCCGGGACGAGTGGGTCATACTGCCACTCTGTTGGGTGAAAATATTTATCTCATTGGTGGGGTGACAGGTAATAGTTTGGAAGCGATGACGAATATTTATGTGTACAACACGGCGTTTCGTACCTGGAAACTTTTGGTAGGTGTCGCTCTTTGGATTAGGTACATTTAAATAGGTACATAATTGTCTAGTGTTGTTTCTTTAACTTACTTTAGACTGCCGCCAATATAAACGTACCGTATGGTCGCCGTTCGCATCGGGCCGTGGGAAGTAAGTGTTTGCCCTTTTGTTTCGCGTCCATCATGACTTGTAAGTTCACGTGTCATATTCATCCATTTGAATCAGCTCCCGACGGAAAAATCATAATCTACGGTGGTGCGAACATTGACTTTTCGGTAACATATAACGACTTGGCGATATTGGACACCACCACCACTCCACCAACATGGAATACACCCCCCATCAATGGCACCCCACCACCACCAATGTACGCTCATACTTTTACCTTGGTAGGAAGTCAAGCAATCATCGCTTACGGTATGTTGGTTTTAAATGTTGGATAAGCGAGCTGGTTATTCTCCTCGAAACTTTCACTGATGTGGTATACCCTACTTTTTTGTTTTAGGAAATATGGTAAGTTGTGTAAATGTTTGAGCCTAATAAAGCCCCTGAGCCCGTAATTTATTTATCCGAAATGTACAATTTTACATAATAGCGATATACCACCACCCAAAATATTTTTGTTCTTGACGTCAACAACTTGACATGGAAAACTCAATATGTGCCAAAAAATTTTGGCCCGACCGAAACTGCAAATCCATCGCTAACCCCCGGCACACTTTCATCTTCGTGGAATGTTCCATTGATAGTCGGTGTGGTCTGCGGTGTGGTCGGCCTAATCATTATAGCGGCATTGATATTTTTCTTTGTTAAGAAGAAGAAAAAGGATCCGGAAGATGATTTATTCGAAAAAAATCCGGATCCATTATCGCCAACAAATGATGACACATTGACGGGCCCACGTCCTCGTCAGGAATTTGTGGACACCGGAAAAAAACTACCAAAGGTACGATTCATTTGGGGAAATGATCGCGACGATAATGTGGAGAATCCCGATGAATTGTTTAGATACAATCAGGACGATTCGTTCAAATATGACCCATTTCGGAGCTCCGGATCCGATGCCGCAACATTAACAATGGACGAACGTGAATCATGGAATTCGACACCAAGTAACCTTAAACCGATGAATGGTGAAGGGTCAAA